TCCTACCATGCCCACTAACCATGTCCCCAGGTGCCACACATCTCCCTGTTGCTCGGTGGGGCAGATTGGCTGTGCCTCCAGCTTTCTTTGATGGCTCTTGTGGGCTCTCATACCTCTGGTCAGTGCAGTGCTCACAGACCCAGCTCAGCCTGGCCTGGCGTCAGTGACCCCTCCTCTCGTCCTTTGCAGTGGTGGTGAGAACCAGATGGGGACACTGATCGCCCTGGATTGCCTGCTGCACCAGCTGAAAACAGAGAGGACTGTGGATGTCTATGGGGTGACCCTCCAGCTGATGAGAAGCTGCTGCCTCATGACCCCCACGCTGGTAGGCGGGCAGGAGGGGACACTGGTGTGTGCTTCTGATGGGCGCTGCTACCTCAGATGCCTTCTGGCAGCGCTTCCATTTGCTGTGCTGACGCAGCATCCCTGTAACCCCTCCCTGCAGAGGACAGGAGAACTGGGGCAGATCTGGGGCTTCCCAGCTGCAGAGCTGCCTGCAAAAACTGCCTCTGCTGCTCCACACCAGAGCTCCACAGAGAGCACTGTATTCCAGCAGTGCTCTCGCTGAACAGGACACAGCGTGCCCAGAAATGCATAAAGCTGCTGCGGGTGCAGCTCTGCTGCCTCCCCACCTTGCTGCAGGTGCTGGCCAGCAAAGGGGGATCAGGGCTGGAACCCCAACCCTGTGCTTTGTGACTGCCAGCATCCTCCATCAGTGGGATGCTGCCTCCCTCCCTGGTGGGGTCACGTGGGTTTGGCTTAACAACCACACGGGGGTGAGGAGGAACTTTTGAGTCGTTGCTATGGGAAACCACTGGATATTGAGGCACACATCCCCAGGGCTGTGCTCCAGGTTGTCACTGCAGATTACCCAATCAGAACAGGCTCATAGAAAAAGTGCAGCCACTGTGGGCTCTGTGGCTTCCCTGGCCATGCAGCAGGGCTGAGCCCACTGCTGCCAGGGCGGGAGAGGCTCCTCATGCCTTGCAGCTCAGCCAGCACATCATCAAGCTGCTCGGGGGCCCCTCTGTTGGGTCTACAACCCACAACTCTCTTCCTGGCTCCCATGGCGCTGCGACCCACAGCAGCTGCCCTGCCCCTGGGCTCTGTCAGTGGAGCTCAGCCCTTTGCCTTCCTCACAGCTTGCCTTTCCCAGAGCCCTGCCAGGAGTTGGTCCTCCCCCTGCCCTTCTCTGAGGGCTTTTGGAACCCAGAAGCGTTCTGGAGCAGTTTGTGCAGAACATCATAGCAGAAGGAAATGAGGGTGGCCTAGTGAGCTCTGTGTCTGATGCTTCCTTTCTGGATAGTTCTGGTGGTACAGAGCAGTCATGGACCACTTGGGACAGTGAATCCTGCTTTACCATTACCCTGCTGGTTAATTGCAAAATAATAAGGCAAACTGCTGGAGCCCTGACCCCAGAACCCTCTTTCTCTTCCTTAGGACCAGTACGTGTTCCTGTACACCTGCATCCGGGACATCATCACTCAGAAGCAGCCCTGAGGCCCCTTGGTGCTTCCCTGCAGCATCCTGCCCTCTGAGTGGGAGCACTGAGTGGCTCCTGGCACAGCACGAGCCCTGCAGCAAGAGGGAGACCCAACCTGGCGCTGTCACCCCACTGTCAGCTTGGGATGCCCGGGTGGGAGTTGGGGGTTTGGAGGGAGGTGGGGTTTGCTGGGGGTGGGAGGTGGGATGCTCCCCCCTCTGCTCACCTTCTGAGCTCACTGGTGCCCGGGATGCTGACCCAGCTGTAGCGCTGGGTGGCCCCAGGGTGGAGAGTGCTGAGCTCTGCAGCACAGAGCGTGGTCTGGGCTGATGGATCAGCGTTGGGTACAGCCAATAAACAGCCCTGGGAAAGAGCACACTTCTAACTCCTCTTACTGTGTTGCATCAGGAGCTTCCTACAGCTCTCATGAGTCTCCTTGCACAGGGACACGCTGTAAGGCAGAGCTGATGCACGGCCTGCTGCACGTTACTGCTGAGCTGCCAGCTGTAGGGAAGCAAGGGAAACCCACGGTGGGAGAGGCTGCTGTCTGCAGGGCTTCCTGATGTCCAGGAGCAAGCAATCCCATCTGGCAGCACAAAGAGATTGCAGCAGAGCCGGCAGCCGAGGTGAACCTGCAGGCAGCTGCAGCTGCAGCACAGCTTGGAGGGACCAGAAGGACTTGGAGGGGACGAGCACGTGGCAGGGAACTGTCCTGCAAGCTGGTCAGCAGGTTTCGCTCAGAGAGTTCAGTGCGACTGCGTCTCCATGCTTCACATCCCAGCTGCAGGGAGGCTGAGGCGGTGGCGATGCTGAATTTACGACCTCCCACCCACTGCTGAAGCTGCAGCTGTTTCCAGAGGGTGTCGTGGGAGCTGTGGTTGGGATGAATAATTTTCCAGCCCTGCAGCTCAGAGCCACGAAACCCGGAGTGGGAGAAAGAGACAACAAAACAGTAACACAGAACAAAGCCTCCAGCACGGGCCGCCCAGCAAGCTGTGCCCCGTGCTGCGTCCTTCAGCATCCAACCCCCACCTCCTCCTTCAGCCCCCTGCAGATGCCAGAACCCCAGAGACAAGCAGGATCCCTTCTGTTTGGGCCCCTCCTGCTCCCATAGCAGGGGCACGCCGCGTTAGCACTGCTGTGCAGGAGGAGGGCAGGACTCCCAAGCACACATCTGCAGGCACGGGGCCATGGTGACTGCTGTGCACCACAGCTCCTGGATCCCACAGCTCCTCTGTTTGCTGGTGCTGATGATACGTGACCCTCCAAGGTACAGAGCTCAGCAGCTGCAGCGTCTTCCCCCAGCACCATCATGGGACACTGCTGAGCACCCCCACGATACTCTGGGCTGGCTGCCCCAGCTGGATGCATGCTGTGGGGTTCCCCAGGGCTTGCTCCCCCTCCACCTGAGCCATATCAGCACAGGCATTGCAGCTCACGGATCTCCAGCATTCTCTCTCATCAGCCACTGCACCACTCTCATCCTGGAAGCACCAGGGCTGGATGGGATGGTCTGAACTGGAGGGGGAACTCCTTCTGGGATAGTCAGATGGGACCAATGCTGAGGCTCGCTTCTTCCCTGCCCTTATGCATGCTGAGCTTGCCATGGCTTCAGGCCCCTGACCCTGGGGCTCCCTGCTTGCTTGCAAGGGCTTGCATTTACCACCCAGCCCTGGCACTATGGCCCTCTTGTCCCAGTATGCAGCCCAGGAGGGGCTCAGTTGTGACAGTAGTGATGAGCAGCCAAAGTCTGATGGGCTGCAGCAGGGATTAAGGACTGACAGCCAAGCCGGGATGGTGCCAAGCCCCTGAAATAGCAGGAAACAAACAGAGGACACAGTTTGCCTACAGGGCAGAAGGCACGCTCTTGATTTACTGAGAACAGCAGCAAGCAGCCCGCAGCCCAATAGCCCAGTAACCCTCACCTTTGTCACAGCCTAGGACTGTCCCCAGCTCTGGCAGCACCCTGAGAGGAGTGATGTGGGAGGACTGGGGTGCTTTGGGGGCTGCCGAAGTGATGGACAGACGCAGGGATGGGATGCACAGATGCAGCTCCGCTCGCTGCTCAGCTGCGCTCATCCCATCTTCCCAACCCACTGCTGCCACTAGAGGACAACACGGAGGTTGTGTGCCGTGCAGGAGCGCAAACCCTCACGTTCATAGCAGTGAGCTGGACGTGGAGCTCCGGCGCCTGTAACCGGGGCACCTGACAGCACAGAGCAGTTGCAGTTAGAAGCGGCTGAGATGTGGGACTTCACCCCAGAGGGATGTACTCAGGTCGGCCATGGACGCACCGAAACTCTCAGGTCCAAATGAGGTGCAGGCTCTGTTTCTGTCCAGAGCCCTTCAGGTCCTGCACGGCTCTCTGCCACGGTCTGTGCATTAGCTCCAAACCTGAGCTCCACTGGGAGCAGAACTTTTTGGAGGAAATCCCCACAGACCTCTGTGGATGAGGGATCACACCCCAGCTCCACTGGAGTTTTTAAGTCCCCCGCTTTGCTGCTTGACCCCATATAACTCTCCCACCTCTGTTAACCTGAGAGAATGGGGACATCAGTTAGGAAAGACTTTTATAGCTGGAAGCAAAAGCACCCTGTCAGGATGTGCAGCCGTGACATGTGCAGCAGCAATGTGAATCTTCCTCAGCACGGCCACAGCCAGAGGGGCTACTTCGTGGGTCACAGCCACCCGAAGGGGGTCCCTCCTTCCTCTGCCTGTACCTCATCCCCTCGAGGGGAGGCAGGGGGAAGCTCCTCTTGGAGCATCGTGGCTGCAGCTCACAGCCCGCTTCGACGAGCGTCTCCAACGTCACAGCCGCCGCAGCCCTGCAGGGCGCTCTGGAGCCGCCCCACCGAACTCAGCCCCGCTGCAGCGACTGCCCCATACCTGCAGCTCCCCCAGCCCTGTTCCGTGGATGGGGATGGTGAGAGGAGCAGGGCAGGACCCAGCAGCTCGAGCTCAGCCCGGCTGCACCCGGACCTCCCAGCTGCCGGCGCAGACATAGAGCTTTATCCGGGGCTGTGTTTCAGCGTCCCGAGGTCCGAAGCGCTTGCAGTGCGGGTTGGGTGCTGCTGCCTCCCCGTTGGTGCTTCAGCTCTGCCTTCTCCTGCACTGCTCTCTCACAAAAATCTCTGTTTCAGACCAAGCACTGCTCCCGGAGTCAAGAACACGGCTTTATTTGTCGAGGTTTCTTTCTTTCTTTCTTTCTTTTTTTCCCCTTTTTCGTTCCCCTTTCTTCCCTTTGAATGAAATTCCTGCCAGCTCTGAGAGAGAGAGGGAAAGAGCAGAAGGTTTGACTCCTCCTACCGGAGCGCCTCACGCCCCTGCCCAGCCCTTGAAACCCAATAACCAAAATCATCCAACAATGCCTTCCCTTCCCCGGCTGCATCCCCACCGCTCTCCCCATTGCCGCAGGTCGGGCGCGCGGTGACGGAGCGCCCCGGGGCGTCCCGTCGGTGCAGCTCTCAGGGTGGGGGTGGATCCCCGTCGGCTCCCCGCTGCTTGCAGCGAGCTGAGGATGGAGCGCTTCACCTTCTGGAGCGTTTTGCTGGCGTGCTGCGCCCACATCCGAGCGGCGGAGCCGGGCGCTGCGCCCTCGTGCCCGGCGCAGTGTCACTGCGAGCAGGACGGCATCGTGCTGTCGGTGGATTGCTCCGAGCTGGGGCTGCCCGAGGTGCCCTCCGCCCTGAGCCCGCTGACCGCCTACCTGTAAGTACAGCCCTCGCTGCTATTTTTTTTTTTTTTTTTTTCCCTTTGCGCCGCTTTCTCGGACCCTCCGGCTCGGAGCTTTGCGGCAGGTTTCGCACAAATTGGAAACAAAAACGAAACAGCCGAAAATAAAGAAAGGCAGCAGTTCCTCCAGGAGCTGCCAAGCAGAAGCAGACCCCCCGCACCCCTTCCTTCCCCCCACCCCCGCGCCCCTCCGCTGTTTGCACCACACCGTTCTGCACGCGTTGCTCCGGGGCCGCTTTGCTGGGCGGACCCGAATTGTCTGAGAGCACAACGGAGCGTTGGTGCCGCGCAATGACTGCCAGCTGCTCCAGGACCCCTCCTGTCAAACGTTTCCACAGGTGTGAGAACTCACAGCTTTTGGGTTGAGTTGTGCTGGCCATCAGCTGTGCCCAAATTGCCTCTTTGAAATCAATCCTGAAGTCCTACAGGTGTTTTAGGTGCTCGCCCATTATTTTTTTTCTTCTTTTTCTGGAAGGATTTAAAGGCTCTCAATGCTCTCCGTGTCTCCCATCCCCTCTGGTATGAATACCCCAAAGGGTTCCACTCCCACAGGGATTGGGGGAGCCTTAAAGCTGGGCTCAGCAGCGCTGACGGTGTCCTGTGGGCTGGGAAGGATCCCACATTTTGGCCGGGGGATGGGACACACCGCTGAGTACTGGTGCACCCTGAGAGGATGCTTGGTGCTTCTATCAGCAGAGTGCAGCGCAGCAGGTCGGGAAGGACCTTGCTTTCCCCAGCCAGTGTGCTGCTGCTGGAAGCTACTGTATGTGAGGAAGGTCAGGTGGCCAGGTGTGGCATCCCGGTGCTCCGGGTCCTCCTCAGCACTCCGAGTTCACGAGGGGCTCTGCAAAACAACGGCTGGGCCGTTGGGACCCGGCGAGAGCTCCCGTTGACCCGAGGGCATCGCTTTTTGTACCGTGCAGATGGGCAGCTGGGAAGAAATCAGGGCAGGAAAGGATGAGTTTTGCTATAGATCGCGTGAAGGGAGAGCTGTGCGGGGCAAGCAGAGCGGACCGCGCAGCACCTTTCACACGAGGTTCCCCCCGCTCTGGGAGCCGCGGGCAGCCGCTGCCTCCATCCCCGTTACCCGGGTTGGGGGGCTGCGGGGACGCGGAGCCTCCGCCGCCGATCGGTGCTCCCGGTGCGCAGAGGGCGGGGAATCTGACAGCGGATCGACCGCCGTGCGTGGCCGGGCGCTGCCCCGCATCTCCGCGCCGCTCCGGAGAGCCGAGAGCCTGCAAAGGCACCGGAGAGCCGAGGGATGCGGTCGCAGCGCCGCAGCTCCGCCTCCCGCTGCCTGGGCCGTCCTGGGGCCCACGGGGCTGGACGGCAGCGAGGTGAGGGCGCGGGGGATGGGAGCTGCCTGCGAGGACATCCCGGCCCCCTCCGCCCCTGTGCGCGGTACCAGCCCTGGGGAGGGCAGTGCGGGGTGAAAACAGACCTCCGCTGGTTGAAGCTGCCCGCGGACGGCGCTGCTGCTGCTGCCTCACCCGTTTCGAGCGTCTCTAATACCTCCTAAGGACCCGACCCCGTTACAGCGCTGACCGCTCTCGCGGATCTTTCATCCCCATTTAAGGGCTCTCGGGGCCCTTCTCGCTTTGCAGAGCTATTTGGAGCAGCTGTGAGGGGTCTGCAGGCAGGGAGATGGAGCGGGGCAGCGAGGGCGTGGCAGAGCGTTCAGCCCCAGAGCTGCACCGGGGGCTGATGGGGGGGGATGGAACACGTTGTTTCCCTGGGAGGGAAATGCTTGGTGTGACGGACCAGAGTTGATGGAATAGAAAAAATATTGAGAGATTATTTCAGTGCTTTCACTTCTCTCACACTCTCCTTTTGAAGTTTCCATTTCCATATTTTCACCTGCTCGTTTACCTGCCAGCCGTTTAATGCTCACGTTGTGGGACTGCAGAATCATCGCGGCAAAACATCCTGGCCTTTTTAAAGCACGTTCTGTTGATTTTGGTAGTGGTGGTCAATACTGATTCGTTGGCTCTTTGTGGTGGGTTGGGAGGAAAGGAACAGCTGAAGACTGAATTTCCCACCAGGTGGAAACCTGCAGGTCCTTGGAGGCTCTCCCTGTCTCTTCTTCTCATCTCCCAGCCCCTCTCTCACAAGCTCTGCTCCTTTTCTCCTCTCAGTACCATCAGCAAGAACAGTTTGGGTCCAACGGTGCTCACAGTGGCCCCATTTGGGGCTCTGCTGTGTCTCGCTGGGCCCCGTGCAGCTCGGTGAGCCCCCAGCCGGCCGTAGCGCTGCAGATCACCACCGGGCCCTTCCCCAGTTTTCAGTCCCCAGGTGCAGAGCCGTTCCCTGCGGGGCTTCCTGGGCGCGAGGTGTCAGCAGTGTCCCCTTTTCGGCTCTGCAGGAGCGGGAGCAGTCAGCCCTGCGCAGCTGGCAGGAATTGCCGGCTGGGTTGCAGGGGGTGAGGAGCGCGCTGATGCAGGCAGCACGGAATGAACGTGCACGAGCGCACGGCTAACAGAGCGCAGCAGGAGCTGCCGTCCGTCCTCCCCGCGCTCTGGGCTTCAGCATCGCGGTCTCTGCTCGCACCCGAAGCCCGTGGAGTCGTCCCACCCCCAACCCCGCTCCTCCCTGCCCGCCCCCCGGGCTAAGCAATACGCCACAGCCTCCCCTTTCTCCCTCCCTTCCGTGAAGAATAAGCTCATAAATCTGCCCGGGGCAACGAAAACACTGAGCTCATGGCCCTTAGATCTGCGCAGGAGGAGCTCTCGCTGGCGATTAAAGGAGTTTAGGGTTTGCTTTGAAATGCGCTTTGATTCTGGCAGAGGCTCCGGTGCCAAAAGGCAGCGATGGAGCTGCGAACGCCTCTCCCCCTCTGCACCTGCCTGGGTCAGGGAGCAGCGGGAGGGTGGAGGACGGAGAGGGAAGCACGGCGCTTCCCTGGGGGCTGTGTGGGGCTGTGGGACCCCCGACACTTCCCAGCAGCCCTGCTGAGGGACCCCCTTCCTTTCTTTGTGAGCTGCCTCGGGACCCACAGCGGAGACCCCGGGGAGACAGAACAGTTTTCCAGCGCTCGGCATCCCCGTGAGGCACCAATTAGTAACGCTGCCCCTCATTCAGATGGAACGCGATGCCCGGGCACCGCAGCGCTCAGCGGGCTGCGCATCACCCGCCGGGGCGTGGAGAGGAACATCTCTGCCGAGTCGGGGGGGTGAGGCGCGGGCTGCCTTTCCGGGCTGTTACCGGTGTAGCGGTGGCTCTGGGTGTCGTTGCACCCCATACGGGACAGCTTCCAGAGACTTCTCCATTACGGGCGCTTCCCAACCTGAGTACAGCGAGTTTTCGTAACTGCATGCACGAAACCTGCGGGAAAGGCACTGGGGCTTTCAGGCAGAAACTCAGCTCCTATTTCTCACAGAGAACACGAGAAGGAATTCCGGTAACGGGGAACCCCCTCTGCTGCTCTGCTTTAACCCGTTCCCCGCCGCTCCCCCTCGGCTCCTGGCAGGTCGGCGCTACGGGCGCAGAAGCAGCGCTTCAGCCCAGCGGAGGAGGAGCAGCAGAGGCTCAGAGCAGCGCTGGGCGCTTCCTCCGTGCCCGCCGGCCATAGGAGCTGCCGGGAGTCCTACGGAGCGGTCCGGACGGGGCTGTCACCTCCCCGAGCCGCGCAGAGGACGGGAAACCCCTTTGGGGTCGGCTGTGGGGCGCTGGTGCAAACGGACCCGCAGCCACATCCCAACCGGGAGCTCGGGTAGGAGGCTGGGTGAAGCTTTCGGGGTGCCGCTGTGCTGCGGTCGCACTCAGGTGAGCTCCATGAACGGCTCCCTGAACGCAGCAGCCCGGCCTGAGCTCCTGCAGCCCCTCTTTAAGCTCACCTGTTTGCTATAGGAAGCTGCCTTGCTTTGAGCGCCCTGAACGCACAGGTGTAAATAGCAGCCATTTCACCTCTTTGACTAAACAACAAAACAAAACAAAAAAACAAAGGAGGAGGAAAGGTTGGCTTTCATTAAACAAATAGATTTTTTTTTTTTCATGTTTCCCATGCAATTAAGACCAAACCAAACCAAAACAAATCATACTTGTTTTGGGTATCCCTGAGATGTTTTGCTTTGAACCCAAAAGGAGAATTTTTGTGTTACTTGAAAATCTCTCAGCCCTTATAAGAGCTTTCACTGAGAACAACGCCGTCTCCACTCCTTTCTTCTCTTCAGTGGAGCAGAAATTCACCATGTGGGCTCCTGGCCTGGATGTCACCCAGTGCCAATGGCCTCCCAGTGCCATTCCTGCCTGCTTCCCACTGCACACGCGCTGCCTCACAGCAGCACCCACCCCATAGCGGCACCCCACAGCGTCCCGTGGCTGCAGTGACTTCCCAGGGAGATCAGACAGCGCCAGGAAAGGGGAGGAAGGAATCCACGAAGGCTCCTTTTGGCTTCGGAGCTCTCCTGCCTCTCCCCAGCTCCTGCCAAGACACCTTCGAAACACCTCTGAGACGTGTTGGGCACTGTGACTGGGCTGGAGGGGAAATCCACGCTCCCTTTGAAGTCTGGATACTTGAGGAGTCTTGGAATTATAGGGCTGTAATGTACAGGAATGTGTGGGGCTGTAATTGTGACTTAGATCCTCGGATGAAAGGTGCTACATACGTGCAGAAGGTATTATTATTATCGCTGTTATTAGTGCTATTATTATTACTGCTATTATTATTATAGGGCTGTGATATGTGGATTGGAGATGAAAGTAGCACCAAAAGATCCTGAAAGATGGGAAGTGTCTTAAGGAAGTTTCAGTCTGGGATTTGGTTTGTCTGCATGGAGGAGTGGGGCAGGTTGGCTCCACGCACCGACAGCAGTGGGGCTGTCATGGGAGGAGGGCTGCATGCAGACCCCCTCCCCAAAGCTCAGTTGCTCTGCAGGCTGTCTGCAGGAGTTGTTCCAGAGAAGCTGCTGTGGGAAAAATAAATGAGTAAATAAATAAAAGACATTGGACATTTTCACCGCTCCTTCTGATTGCTGCCA